GTAAGAAAACTTCATGATAATTTCACTTACTTTTGCTACCTCCCACTCTCCAACTCTGTGGCAGCCTTGAAGACAATAACCTTGAAGATGATATTCCTGGTATGAGTTTCTAGTATTAGAGGAGACAGAACAGACCCCCTACTGAAAGTATTGTGGTTGTTTGTTTTGACCTGTCTGGTGGCTCTCTGAATGTTTGGCTCAAAGGGCTTGCCTTTATTTTGACTAAATCAGAACTCTCCCAGAACCTAGGGGGCATCTGTTGAAAATATATAAAGGCAATTATATTAGGTGCTGCCAAATGGGACAAATGATCACATTTGGAAAAAAAATAACAAGCAAATAAAAAAACTTAGGAAGAAAGGCTGGAGGATGAAATGATTACAGAACAAGGACTCTGAAAAGCTCCTACAGGGGCACCTGGGTGGCTCAGTCAGTCGAGTGTCTGACTCTGGATTTCAGTTCAGGTCATGATCCCAGGGTTGTGGGATGAAGCTTCAGGTCAGGCTCCACACTTAGTGGATTCTCTCCACACTTAAGATTCTCTCTCTCTCTCAGGGCACCTGGGTGGCTCAATCAGTTGAGCGTCCAACTTTGGCTCAGGTCATGATCTGACAGTTTGTGGGTTCGAGCCCTGCGTTGGGCTCTGTGCTGACAGCTTAGAGCCTGGAGCCTTCTTCAGATTCTGTGTCTCCCCCTCTCTCTGCCCTTCCCATCCTCATGCTCTGTCTCTCTCTAATAAAAACATTAAAAAAAAAAAAACTTTAAAAAAAGATTCTCTCTCTCTCCCTCTGACGCTCTGCTCCCTTCCCCTGCTCGTGGGCATGCTCTCTCTCTCTCTCTCTCTCTCTCTCTCTCTCTGTCTTTCTCTCAAAACAAAAACAAAAACAAAAAGCTCATACATATTCCTCAGAATAGCTGGGTACATGCTCAGAAAAGACCTGGGAATGCCCTAAGATCTTACCTCTAGCTGATCACCAGATTCTGTGCAAGCAGGAAATGAGGGCTAAAGCAGAGTTGTAAATTGCACGACTGAGTGCTGAAGGTATTTCCCAATATACATGCAGTGCTCATCTGCAAAGACTGGGAGGTTTTTGTTGTTGCTGTTCTAGCATTCAAGGAAATCCTGTCAAATGAGTAACTGACCACTAAGCTAATGACACAGGGACTTTGATGGCCATGGGCAACAAAAAATAGACTTTACAAAATTAGTTCCTGAAAAGTCACTAAACTAACAAACAACAATTTCTATCACAAGCAGCAAGTCTTAGCATGGTAGGAAATCCTATTCCCAGAGTTGTTTCATTATAATACTCAAAATGTGCAGTTTAGGAAAAAAGGAGCATAATTCATACATTGGGCATTGGGGAGACTGTCCTTGAGGAAGCACAGATATTGGATATAGAAGACAAAGGCTTTGTTTTTTTTTTTCTTTTTTCCCCCTCCCCAGAAGACAAAGGCTTTAAATCAATTATTTAAAATATATTCAAAGATCTAAAGGAAACTATGTGTAAAGAGCTAAAGGAAAACATGATAATCGTATCCCAAAAGAGATTTAATTTAAGCAGACCCAAAGAGATTTATGAGACAACAGCATGCATACGAACAGATGCATAGGGGAAGCGAGTTGATCCTCCATTTCATATGGAATTTTAAGGGACACTATATAGCCAAAACAATCTTGAAACAGAAAAACAAAATCGGAGAACACACACTTCCCCATTTCAAAACTTCTACAGAGCTACACAACCAAAATAGTGTGGTGCTGGCATAAGGATAGACATATAGATTAATGGAATAAAATCAAGAGTCCAGAAATAAACCCATAGATGTATGGGTTTGACATCTATCATCAAGTGATTTTCAACAAGAGTGGCAAGACCATTCAATGCAGAAAAAATAATCTTTTCAAATAATAGTGCTTGGACAACTGGGTATTCAATGTAGAAGAAAGGGGGGGGGCTAGATGGCTCAGTTGGTAGAGCATGTGACTCTTGATCTCAGGGTTCTGAGTTCAAGCCCATGTTGGGTGTAGAGAATTACTTAAAAAGAAAGAAAAAGACTGGGTGCATGGGAGGCTCAGTCAATTAAACATCCGACTTCAGTTCAGGCTATGATCTCACAGTTTGTGGGTTCAAGCCCCACATCAGGCTATCAGCAGAGAGCCTGCTTTGAATCTGCTGTCTCCCTCTTTCTCTTTCTTCCCCTACCCAGCTCGCATTCTCTCTCTCCCTCTCTAAAAAAAAAAAAAAAAAAAAAAAAAAAAAAAAAAAAAAAAAAAAAAAAAAAAAAAAGGAAAAGAAAGAAAAGAAAAAAGAATGAAGTTGAAGTTGGACCCCCTTCCTCTCACCACATACAAAGTTAACTCAAAATAGGTCAAAGGCTACATGTAAGACCTGGAGATATAGAACTATTAGAAAATTTAACAGTAAATTTTCATGACCTTGGATTTGGTAATGATTCCTTAGCTATGACACCAAAAGAACAAAGAACAAAAGAAAAAATAAACTGAACTTTGTCAAGAAAAAAATAAAACTTTTGCACATAAAAGAACATTCTCGAGAAGGTGAAAAGACAAACCAGAGAATGGGAAAAAATATTTGTAAATCATATATATCTTATAAGAGTCAAAGGCCCAGAATATATAAAGAACTCTTAGAACTCAAACAATAGGAATACAATCCAAATAAAAGATGGGCAAAGGACTTGGATAGATATTTCTCAAATGAATACATGCAAATAACCAATAGGCACACGAGAGGTTCAACATCATTTGTTGCTAGGGAAATGCAAATCAAAACCACAAGATTACCACTGCACACCCACTAGGATTGCTTTTTTTTTTTTTTTTTTTAAGGAAAATAACAAGAGTTGCTGAGCAGATGGAGAAACTAGAATCCATCACGCAGTGCTAGTGGGAATGTGAAATAGTACAGCCACTGTGGAAAACAGGCAGTTCCCTGAGAAATTAGCCAGAGAGTTACCATGTGATCCAACAATTTCACTCCTAGGCATACACCCCAAAGAACTGAACGTTTAAAGAAAAACATGCCTATACATATATATAGTAGATTTTTTAAAAAATGGAAACAATCCAGATGTCCATCAACTGAGAAAGGAATAAACAAACTGTGGTATATCCATACAGTGGAATATTATTCAACCCAGAAAGGAATAAAGCCCTGGCGATACTACAGTGTAGCTGAACCTTAAAAACATGATGCCAAGTGACAGATGCCAGACATAAAAGGACAAATATTCTTTGATTCCATTGATATGAAATGTCAAGGAAAGGCAAAGCCATAAAGACAGAAGCAGATCGATGGCTACTAGGGATGGGAGAAAGGGGTGAATTGGGAATGACTGCAAAATAGGTACTGAGTTTCCATTCGGGTGAGAAAAATGTTCCAGAATGACTGGCAATGGTTCAGTGAAGTAAAAGCCACTGAATTAATTGTACATGTACGATGGTTACAGTGGTGAATTTTATGGGGTGTGCATTTTACCTCCATGTTAAAAGACAGGAAGGAAATACATCAAAATGATCATCTTTGGCGATCTCGTGTTTTTCACTGCGCTGCATTTTCCTAGCCGTCTACAATAAGCCTGCAGTACCACGATCAACTTAAATCTCTCTCGTTGCTGTGGGAAGCAAATCTCTCAAACTGTCATACGCACACAGACCTCCTGGGGATCTTGTTAAAGTGCAGATTCTGATCGAGTGGTCTGGGGCGGGGGACCTGAGAGTCTGCATTTCCAGCAAGCTTCCCCAGACCTCCCTTTGAGCAGCCAGGCTCCAGAAATCAGCAGCCCAAGGTCCACGGAAGCTAAAATGCCAGCACAGAGAAGACTCTTGCTTCTGGACGCCCTCCCCCGGGGGCCTACGGAGTGTAGGACCCACTGACGTTTATCCGAAATTCAGATGTAACTGCTGCCCTCTTGTTTCTATTTGCTGACTCTGAAACCCCAGCCTGCAGTGGAGAAGGGGTGGAGCTGTGGTTGTCCAAGCAACCTGTGTCTGAGATACTTCAAGACCACTCAAGGCAGCTTGCTTGATGGTCCCGTTGACCTAGTGACAGTCACCAACACGGCTTACTCCCCATCTGAGCCACCCTTGGGTCATCCTCCCCGACTACCCTTGGGTCTGTTCCACCCAGCTGGCCACCTCCTGAGAAAGGCTCCCCCTGGAAACTGGCACACGGACTCTCACCTGATCTGGCCACCTGGTCCGGCAGCCCACGGAGCAGCAGCATCCCCTCCAGGACACCGCTGTCAGGCAGCCTTACCAACCGACCAACTCGGGGTCAGTACCCGAGAGCCAGGAGGTAGTCTGCACAGTGGCTACTGGAACGGCTCTGAGACTCAGGTTTGAGTGGAGGCTTGGACAAGGTACTTACCTTCTCTCTGGGCTTTGCCACCTACCTGTCACAGGTGGATAATGCTTCCTAATCCCCAGTTCTGATGATGAGATGAAATCATTTCTCAATAGCGCTTAGTGCTCTGCCTGGCACCCAGTAAACGCTCAGGGTATTGGGGAAACCATAGTTTTTTCTCTTCCTCTCCCACAATGCCCAGCACAGCGCTAGGCACGGCTGACATGTAGCATGAGCTCGTGGGAGCTGAACAGCAGGAACATTCTGGAGCAGTGAAGAGACACACTGCTCTGACCTAGACGCATGACCTACTCACATCTCCCAGCTCTGCCTCGAATTCTTTGTGACCTGAGGTAAGTCCATTTCTTTCTCTAACGCCTCGGTGTCTTTGGCTGCAAAGTAAGCCGCTGGAGAAGCGGCCATCTGCGCTCTCTAGCAGCGTGTCGAGCTGTTAATGTGCCCATTCCACAGATCAAGAAGCCTGAGGCTACTGACTTGTAATGAAGAGGCACCTAGGCCTTAAACCCAGCCCGGTACTCCCACCGTGGAATTCTCCCTCTTCTCACGTGCCCATTAGCCCCAGTTCTAAGCCGGTGGGGAAGGGGGTTGTGGATGGGGTCTCTGCCTCACCTGGCTGGCCTCAGTGGGGCAGAGTCCATGGGCGCCGGGCAACTCGGAGATCCCAGCGTTCTCCGTGAGGCTGTGGTGAATCCTCTTGCCTTTAGTACCCGGCAGAGCTGGCTTTGGTCTATTCCGTGCTATTCCATTGTCATTGTCAGGACTGGGCTTGGTGGAGCTGGACCCAGCGTGTCCCGGCCTCTCCCTGCCTCTCCCAGTTCCCGTTGCCTTTCTGCAGGAGTCAGAGCTTATGTGTTCATCTCTTGGGATGTCGAGTCTACCCAGCCCTTCAGGGATGGGGGCTGCTGGCCTTGGTGCAGAGATGTTATCAGTACTGCTTACGGGCCCCAGGCTGGCAGGGTCCCTCCCCTCCCCTGACCAGATATGCCAAGCTCCCTCCCTTTCCTCTCCTGGCTTCTGCCCCGTTCTTTCTGTGATTGGCCCAAGAGAGGGGTGTGGGCCGGCAGATACACTACATAGAGCCTGGAGGCAGCATCCAGGGCTGGCTGGGCCACCCCAGGACGCCCTGCCCACTACCCCCAGCCAAGCTGGGTCCTCTGCTTCCTGCCCAGCTGAGGCAGGGCCTGGAAGGGCACAGTGGCACGCCCTCTGTGATGCTCCTGTTGCCATGGTGATTCTAGATGAAAAGACCATAGCATTCTGTCACCGGAACTTCCACCCATGTTCCCAGCTCTGCTTTGCCTGCCTCAGAGATGGCTCTGTGCTGGTGGCCTTGAGCGCTCTGGCTCTGCTGTGGTCGGCGTCTCTTCTGTGCTCGGCGTCTCTTCTGTGCATCCCCCATCCCTCAGACCTCCCTTTAACCCCAACAGAGACCGCTACCCTAACAGGTGAGCCTCTGCCCCCTTCCCCCCAGAAACTGACATCCACTGGAGAAGTGATGGTGGGCCGTGGAAAAGCCACAGGATTCAAAATGAGAAGACCCAGATTTCAGCCCCAGCCTCGCCTTTCATAGCGGTGTAGCCCTGGACACAAGGCCTTGAGCTTCAGGGTCCTCCTCTGTAAAATGTAGATAATAATGCCTCGGTGACTTTGCATGGGCTTTTCCTTATATGTAATACCCTTCCGTCCTTCTCAGCTCAGGCAAACTCCTACCCATGCCTCAGGACCCAGCTCAAATGATCCCTTCTCTGTAGCAGTTGCCCTGACCTCTGTGTACCTGACGCAGATATTAGGACTTTTTGTGTTAAAGCTACTTAAGCGTTTCCTTCATTTTTACTTGACTATGAATTTTTGGATGCAGGAGGAGTCAGAAGAGGCTTAGTTCTGGCATCAGAAATGGTTTGTTGGGTGACTACTTGGTGGAACGGGAAGCAGAAGTGGATGACCCTGACTGGGCTGGACTCCATCCTTGCAGGGGTCAATCCTGGGGCCCTTTGTCCACGCCTAGCGTGGGCAGTCAGTGCTTGCTGTGGCCTCTCCGTGCCTGAGATGCGTCTGGCTGCCTGGGGATATTTTCATGGCTGAGAGCCAGGGGAAAAGACCCTGACTTATGCCCAGGATCTACCCGTCTTAGCAATGGGGTGAGGCCAGGAGCAAACTTCTCATGGGGTGTCTCTGCAGATATCCTGGGGCATCTGGGAGGGGAAGGAGGCTGGTACAGCACTGTCAGCTGGTCCTGATAGGACTTTGGGGATATGGGCAAGGAACCTGCAGTTCAGGGGAGAGAGAGGAGAACCCCACTTGCCATGTGTCTTCCGACTCTCTTTCATGGCTCTACAGCTGCTGGTCAGGGTCAAGGAGACGAAGGAGCCATCCGGTGCCAGCCCCAGGATCCTTCCAGACTCTGACCAGACAACAGGGCTTCGGTGGCCAGAGCCAGCTAGTCAGGGGCGCCCTCCAGTGGTCACTATAGGAGAGGCAGGAACCTGAGCGCACAAAAAGGGAGGTGTTTCATTTACTCCTTCAGCTAACGTGAAGTGGGCATGCCAGCGCCAGACACGATGCTAGGCACACGTTTCAATTCTAGTTAAAAATATACTGACCATCTGCTAAGTGGAAAGCTCTCCCTTGAGTGTAGATATTTTTTGGTGGGGGGAGAGGGAATACAAGGTAGAGAATTATCCCTTACTGGAGTGATCCTCAACCCACAGTGTCCTGGACTCGCCTAAGGAACCTGAGGAAACATCGGTGCCTGGGACCCATCCACCCAACTGAATCTGGAGTGGGGGTGGAGCAGACGGACCAGGAGCAGGCAGCCAGGCACGAGAAGCCCTGGTTTGGAGAGTTGACTGAATCCTTACCCATCATTCTCATTGCCGAGGTAGTGTTATTGTCCCATTTTCCAGATGAAGACACTGAGGCTCAAGGTCAGGAGAGCAATGGGAAAGATGTTTCCCACAGCACAGACAGCAGGGATGTAACAAATACTCCTAAAAGGCTGTTCCTGATCTCTAAAGAGACTCCCTCGTGACCGTAAAGGCCTTATTGTTTGCTGTGAATAGAAAAGTACCCAAGGTTGTTGTGAATTATAAAGGCGAAAGTGTTGTGCACCAAGGTCACCTTCCATCTCAGCACTGTTAACACTTAAGAATATGTCAGAGAGGGAGAAAGAGAGGAGGGAGGAAGAGAAGGAGGGAGGAAGAGATGAAAGGAAGAGGGGGGGAGGGAGAGAGGGGACGAGTTGATTTTAAGGCTCCAGGTCATATGGTAAGTCAGGGCTTCTGAAAGTGTGACCTTTAGACCATTGCCATCTAATCCCCTCGGAGCTCATTAGAAATGCAGCACGCCCCTCCCGCACTACCCCCAACCGGGTCACAGGATCAGACTCCGGAGAAAGATCCCGAGAAGCTGCGCGCTTTATATACATTCCAGGCCCTTCCTAGGGCCACTCACTGAAGATCAAGAGCCACTTGGGTTTCAAGCTTTCACAAGAGGAGTTTGTCCTGGACATCCATCACTTCCAGGGGCCTAGAAGCGCCCTTGGGTGTAGATTGATGTATTAAACTGTTTGGAAGCAGGTGCTGAGATATTAGCCAGCTGCCCTTGGGGACCTAGGTACAGACTCCCATCTTGCATGGGCTGGCCTGAAGCCAGCAACATGCTGTGTCATCCCTCACCAGGCCCAGCCCCCACACAGCCGCCTCCTACCCCCGCCTTCTTCCGTAGCTATGAACCAACCTACTAAGTGGATTCTGCCAGCCAATCACAGCCCGAATAACCTATGATATCACCACCAGCCAATCAGAGCTCCTCACCAGCATAGGCCGACCGCTGTCAATCTTTAAAAGGTGATGAGGTCTAAAGCAAGGCCGTCCTTTCTGGATAAGGACTCTTCGGCCTAGGGAGGCTCAGAGGCCCACTAGGGTCACCCACACTGGTGGCAGAGCCAGGACTAGAAGCCGGGACTTTTGCCTGTCCTTGGCCCAGTGTTCTTTGCACTGTCCTCGGTGCTGCCAAAACCCCTAAGGGCCTGGGCCCTGGCCCCACTCCGCACAGCTCTCCCTGTAAGACCTCAGCCGTCAGAAACAGGTCTTCTAGTCTCTGGATTTGAAGGGCCAGAGAAAATGGCGGGATTGGGCCCATGGCGGAAGGGACTTGCCCCCAATTCTAGCCCTGGTCTCAGCCCCCGCAGCCCCCAGGAAGGAATTAGAGGGGCCCTGGCCAGGCTGTGCTGGCTGCTAATGTGCAGATTATGAGGAGGGGCCAAAAACAAGGGCTCCTTTGTGGAGGTCCTGGATTAGGCAGTCAAGTGACCGCTTAGCACACTCATGGGCAGGGCCGGCCCCGAATCGTGGGCAGGGCCACTGGCCACAGGACCCCAAGCGTCCCATCGGTCCAGTGGCCAGAAATGTCGTGGGATTCCCAGAGAGGACTGGAGCTCCTCCTGTGAGTAGCAGTTGGCCCAGGCAGGCAGGGCTGGGGCTTTGAGGGTCCGTGGGGGTAGATGACTGTCCCTGCAGCCGTGCGTGTGATGCGTATGCAGGGGCAGCACGTGTGTAGGTGTGGGGGCACCGGTGTGTGTGTGTGCAAAGTCGCTGAGGTGATGTGCACGAGGCACAAAGACCTCAGAGCAGGTAGGGGGAGGGTGGTGCCCACATTGCTTCAGGAAGTTTTTATTGAGCACCTGCTATTGAAAACACAATGGGAGCTTCCATTCTAAGGAGGGAATAGGCAGACATCCAATTCAAGTATAACAAGATAAATGCTATGTAGAAAAATCGATAAGGTGAGGGGACAGAGTACTGATGGCGCTGGGAGGCTATCTCCAGGTAGAGTAGTTTGGGGCATCCTTTCTGAGCAGACGACCTGAAGTGGGAATGAGCCATACAGTGAGATTCGGAAGAGCATCCTCCAGGCACAAGGCTTAGCAAGTGTAAAGGCCCTGGGGTCACTGATCAGTAAACATTATTTGAGCATCTCTACCAGCCAGACTCTGCTCTGGGCAATGGGGACAGGGCAGTGGACAAGACTAATGAGGCGCCCTCACCAACCTTGCTCCAAGGTGGCTGAGGGTGCTTAGGGAGCTAGTGAACTAGACGGGCTCAGCGGACCAAGCCCAATGCATGGACTTGGCTATCGCTGTTGTCATTGCCTTTGCCATACAATTTAAGGGCAGAGACCTATCTGTGTCTTCTCTGCCAAGGCTGTGGGCAGCTCTGGGCACACTTCCCTGGCTTCCCATGTCCCACAGGCAGTAAGAGCCAAACGGGCCTTTGAGGCCACCTCATGCCACTCCTAGTGTCCAGACAGGAAAGCTGAGGCCCAGAGCAGGGAGGGGTCCTGGCTAAGATTACTTATGATGCGCAGACAAGTTCTGATCAAGGCCCCCATCAGTGTCCCTCCCTGTCTGTCTACTAGGACCCACGTCTACCTACTGCAGCCCCGTGCTCAGCCATGACCGTCACCTACTCAAGCCAAGTGGCTAATGCCCGCTTAGGCTCCTTCTCCCGCCTGCTGCTGTGCTGGCGAGGCAGCATCTACAAGCTGCTCTACGGCGAGTTCCTCATCTTCCTGCTCAGCTACTACATCATCCGTTTCATTTACAGGTGCACGGGGACAGGCTGGGGTGGGGTCTGGGGGGGGCGCAGTTGGGGCTTGGAACAACTAAGGGCTCCTCTTATGGGACCAGAGTCCTATAAGGCTGACCTGAGCTCCTGGCCAAGCCCCGGGGGTTGGGGCCTGGGGGGTGGGGAGGAGATCAAGGAGTCAGACTGGGAGGGCAGCTCAGTGCAGGCCGGGAGTGTCTTTCCTTCAACTCAGGAACAGGCCTGGGCCTTACCTGGTCCCCCTCAGCCAGCCTGTTTTCCTGAGTCCCACACAAGCTCAAACCCAGACCATACTTTTTTTTTTACACCCCCCCCACTAAAAATGTTTATTTAAACAATAAAATATAGGGCAGATACAATCATAGAATATATGAAAGCATTTTGAATGGCAAAAGCACTTATGACCGAAATGGATTGAAAGACAAACAGGGGACATTCTTAAATGCCTAATTACAATACCAGTAACAAAGCATATTGATTTTCTTTGGTTGTTACTAGGGCATCAATACACTTTTTTAAAGAAAAATTAGACCCGGGGCGCCTGGGTGGCTCAGTCAGTTAAG